AGTGATGGTGATGCTGAACTTGGTCCGGCTGTAGTTTGCTATTACTATTACGTCTGTCAAACCGTTTGAATCCTTTGTGATGTCATGATGTGCTGTGAAACATGAGACATGTTGTCATAGGCGGTGTGGGGATTCCTTGCTTTCGTTCTGCCAATGTGTCGTGCACGTAATGCTTTCTATATGAACATTAATTTTGTTGCAGATTGTCTGTACATGTGCCCAATGCTTTCCTCTTGCTGTGTAGCTTTCCACTTCGTAGTTCTCAGCTGTAGTTTATTGTTAGAATTGTACTTCAGTACCATTATTTATAGAGAGAAAAGTGCCGTTATTCGCGTGCAGTCGTTGTTCGTGATGTTGAAACTATGCAGTCAAATGGTCACTAAGTCTGAAGATTGTGTCGTTATTCATGTCATGAGTTGTTATTATACCCACGGTTGTTATTCATGAGTTGTTATTTTTTAACAGGACCGCCGGAAGTAGTTTTTGATTGGTCCGGTAGTTTCAGTGCCTTTCATACAGTTTGTATATGATATGGTGGGTACACATGACCTCCATGGTAGTAAACATATCTTGGTGGCTAAATTGTTGGTCCGTTGATAACCTGACCAAGCGGACCGGTTCCGGCTGGCCTGTAATTATACCCGATGTTGTTACCCACAAGATTGACTGTGCCCATAATAGTTTTGTTCTGCTCTACATTACGGGAACGCGACGCGAAGAATCACAGGAATACTCTTCACGTTCCCGTAACGTAAAGGAAGCTTGTTCTGCTCTACGTTCACATAGAGAAATCACGTGCAATGTGTGCTGGGAATTTCCCCGTCCAAATTTGGCAGTTTTCTACCTGCATTTGGATGATACCCAGCAGATCCGTACGCATTTTCTTTGCGTGTGCCACAGCGTAGAGAACATCATCGTAGAAATTTGGACCCGAAAGACGCGAAGCCGTCGGCTCTAACCCAGACATCTGTTCTCTATGTGATTTCTCTGCAGTTCACGTGTATCAGAGCCTCGTTATTATGTGCTTTGACCCTCGTACCGTTAGCTCTCGTGATTGCTGTATTCATCATTCCGTAATAGCAGTTTCTGAGTCTTGTAACGAAATAGAAAGATAAGCTGTTACCTTCTCGAACAGCATTGTGCCCAGCTAAAATTGTCTACAAGGTGCAGCATTGGTAAGATTTTCAAAAGCGAGATTTTTGATCGGAGTCTTGGAATAAATTATTGGGAAAGAGACTATGTTTTCAGGCAGCAGAAGATACTTGATTTGTCATATGCGTGACACCGCGGAACTAGTATGATGTACGCACGCTGGCAATAGAGAGATGGCATTGTGTGTTTATGGAGTAGCCAAGAAGAAGTCACCGCTATATGTGGGTATAAGGTAGTCAAATGTGGGTTGGGTGATTGCAGCAGATATAAAACGCATATGCGCTGAGCCAGAGACCAGCTCATGGCTCACAGTACCGCATTTCCCGATTGCAGTATAAGTCGAACTTGATTATCAGTCGCAACCCATTTTCAGCTCCAACCATTTTCAGCTCCAAGCCAGATTGTTTCAATGCATTCACATAAGTAGGAAGTCAAACTCGATTGTAAGTCGTACTCCCCTCTTTGTCCTTGAAGTTTAGTGTAAAAACGTGTGACTTACATTCGGGGAAGTATGGTATGACTCAGTATTAATTTTGTACTTCGAAGTATTATTTATATCCGTGATCACGTTGCCTCAACAGTATGAACAGAAAAAAGTCCACTTCGCGTGGATGAAAAGAAAAGTGCAAAGAAAATCGCCAAGTTGATGGTGTGTGGTTCGACGGTCAAAACAACCTTGCAACTCTAGACGAGAATGCCGCGCATTTGCCAGAGAGCCATCTCACCGTAATGTCCGTTCGTGTTGTTGTTGCGTTTGACGGACATCAGGTTGGTGTCGAAGGACAGGAACACTGGCTCGATCAAACCTTCATCAGCAGATCCCCACAGGCACGGTGGTAGGGCCAGGTAGCCTTTCTCATTGAAGATCTCCGTTCCGTTGCCGTAGAGTGGGTCATTACGGCATAGCAGTTGTCCGTTGTCTGCATTCCATAGCTCCATTGAGTAGCAGCTAGGGGCATGGCAATGACCACCAGCGTAGATCAGGTTAAGTCCCGTCTTATTCACACTCGAGCCAGTGCATAGTAAACCAGTACCAGGTTTGCAGTCATGTAACATATCTCCAACCTTCCAGTGGGATTGGATCTCATGCAGAGCATCCTGGGGCTGAACGCTGGCATCCTTGACGGGAATGTCGTATTCGGTAGACCACACCTCCGTTTGCCAATAGAAACGAAGAAGATGCTTGTGTTTTGGTGTGGCTGGGTCATACTCCTGGAACCAGAAGCGGAACTTCATGTGATATTCATCGATCTGGTCCTCCCACGGGTTTTGATCCTGGTCGAGAAGAATCCACTGGTGATGACAGCAGCGAAGACCTCCCTGGTACGTCTCCACCCAGCATGTTGGGTTCTTCTGCTGGACAAGATCTCCTTTAGGCTCATCCCAGCAATCCTTGTGGAATGGAATGCCGTTGATCGATCCCTTGACTCCAGCATTGCATACACATGTAGCTCCGTCCAATGCTGCATACGACAAAGTACTAGCTCCCTTAAACTTGTGATATGCGAATGCTGGTCCACTGCCGATGGCACTAATAAACGGCAGCGATGACTGAACAGCTGGGTTGAAACTATAATGATCCTTCGACGCGCCTTTCATAGCACGTTTCAGCACCAGTGTACGAACACCGTTGTTTACAGTGTTTGATGCGATTGTGATACTCGTTTGAATTTGGTTGCCGGCTGCGTGATTGGCTAGCTTTCTCTCCATCACCTCTCCACTGCCGTTCACAATGATGGTGTATGGCAAATCTTCCATAGCAGATGCATCCAGACCCACACCGAACCACACTCCATCCGGTCCAGAGAGTGTAATGGTAGCCTGGTCTTGTTTAGAGTCTAAATCCAGTTTCATGGAGACACCTTTCAGTGCAGATGCTTCTCCACTATACAGTGTACCACCTCCACATGATGTACCGTCTGTCTCCGTGTTGAAATAGATCTTGCTTACATCGTCTTCAGGTGATCGGATGACAGAGCAGCCACTGGGGATGTTTTTCTACAGTTTGTTTGGTAGCATTGCTTGCTGTGCCAATACTCAAAGCAGCAGCAAAACATTCTGATGAGTTCATGACAGCAACAGAACATGCTCCCTTTGTCAGTGCTGAGTATACAGTACGGATATCTTTCTTGATACGATCAGTACATGGGCATTCCAGAATACCGCTGTAACTAGCATTGGCTGGTGCTTGAGATGCTTTAGGTAGAGGACCAGCTACAAAGTCAGCTCCAGGATGGTCTCTGTTGTGTGTATCTATCTGCATGGGAGTAATGTGGAATGTATCCGGTGAGTAGATCAACTGGGCATATCCCTTTGGATAACCATGGAACGATTTACGGAACTCTCCACCATTACCTTCAGAGAACATCTGAGATGTTGGAATACCGTCTTGTGCAGGTGCAACGCCAGCATCACCATCCACTTCTACGGGAGCGTAAAACGTGCGGTGATCATACAAGTTAGCAAAACGGCCGCCCTCGAACGTGTTTGGATCAGCCTCGACCAGCTTTGATTTCTGGCCAGTCATATAGGCTATATAGTGATGGTTATATGCCCAGGTAATGGGTACACTGACATCTCCAGTTGGTGTCTGCCGTACCTGATCGTTCTCATACCCAATGATAGCCATAGTCTTGTTTGTGAAACGCTGAACTATCTCATCAGGAATGGTTACTGGATCCATGAGAGTCCACCAAACCTGGCCGTAGCGTGTTTTAATGGGTGGTGAGTAGACATCAAAATATTCGGCATCCTTCTTAGAGTAATCTGTACTGAACTCTGTCTGGCTGACTGCATTCGGGTTTGATATATGATATAGACCATTCATGTTCTTCAGCTCAGCAGCCTGGCTACACACAGCCAAGCATGCTGCCAGCAACAGGAGTTGCACGGACATTGTCCTGCTTCTTCAACTTCCTAACTTCCTTCTCCTACTGTGTGAAACGTGTTACTCGTTCGTGCCTTTGATGTTTGCACCGTCCTGGCCGGAGAAATCAAATCTCGTAAATAGAATTTTGCCCGGCGTTGCTTAGCCCTAGCACTACACATGTAGACACTGTTCTGTGCTTTCAAACGCATTGTCCTCTGCCTGCTCCTTGCCCTTGAATTTGGCTTCTAGCCAGCCTTGTCTTGACAGCCGACCGGTCTGATGGGCTTTGGTTTGCCTGGCCTGCATCACACTTGTCAATGGTCAATCACCTGTCGTTTTGCCTGTCTTTCTCAGTGACATTTGTTCCTGTCTTCCAGCGTGATATATGATATATGATAGATGATATATGATATATGATAGAAGACCATCCTCCTCCCAGTGATGTTGGACTTGTTCTGGCTATAGTCGACTAAATTTTGTATTACGTCTGTCAAGTTGCTTGCATACTGTAGGACATCGTGACAGACAGTGCGTTGCAGGCACTGATGCACTGCACAAGATAGCAACCCACGACACGTCTAAGATTGTGTTCAGCCAGTATAATGAAATCATAACTTTGTACCAGTGCGGTATGGACGTGCAGTAAGGGGAAACCCCCACACTGCCTGTGACAACATGTCCCATGCTTCACTGCATGTCATGACATCATACAATAAGTGCAGATTGGTACATTGTATCAGTATGCACTTACTCGTATGATTAATACTATGAGTACTTCTTATAAAACAAAGCTGCTGGATGACTAAAAGCTGTCTCCAAAATCTCCCTTGCTTTTTGGACAGCCATTTTCCCCAAAACAACATGGTCGCATAGTGACACCAGCACATGTGCATTTTATGGCGACTGTAGAAATGTGCAGAAGTAGGTACTTGATCCGTGTACTTTGTTTTCTCTTCTTGTCTCTGATATTGGCTTACAGGGTGATGGAGCAGATGAAGTGGTAGCGTGTGCGTTTGATGGTTTCACCTACATAGTCAATCACAACCGTGATGTGGTGCGCTTTCAAATCGATGATAGCCTGTGTGCGTTCACTTCGGGTAAGTGCATTCTGCTGCCGTAGTACCAATAGCGCTATAGCTTCTGGCATTGTAGAAGTGTATTCTGCCGTACTACCGGTAGTGCATGACACTGCACGCCATGTACATGGATATCCACCTACTGGTACCGCCTACATAGTCACACGCGTGTAACATCTGAAACAACACTCAATTGCGTTGCTCCACTCATTCTCTCTCTCTCTCTCTCTCTCTCTCTCTCTCTCTCACTCACTCAGCATCGCTAAAATGTTTCTCCATGATACCGCAGAGCAGCATTGTCATCATACTGTACTAGTTTGTTCATTGGGTATTGAGTATTGACCATAGTTTATAAGTTTAGTGCTGTGGTGCAAGCGGTTCATTGTTGTACCATTTTCTTTCACCTAACTATCCGTACGTTTTGTCTGCTTGTGTGTCTTGTTGGTCATGACTCTGACTCTACTGTGCAGGTTCGTTCGGAGTATCAGCGGACAAGGCCACGTGCAGTCTTGTCTACTTGAGTCTGAACGGCAAGCTGTTTGTCTACTACGATGTGCACTTAAACAGCATGGTCACAAGTAACCTGTTGGAGGAGATGAAGTCAAGAGTAGACGAGGTGAGATTAGTCGCACAGATCTCTGGTCTAGTGGCTCATAACCTATAGACATGCAGTTTAATTAAGTCCGCCCTGATATGGCGCTCCTTCGAGAGATTAAAAAATACACAAATTTAATGTGTCACTAAAAGACTTGGCAGACAGAAATCAGCCATACATAAGTATGTTGTTGTATGCAAGGGCGTGATGTCCAATCTCCACATGATGTGATCTCATGTCTTTTCTTACTGCAGCTTGATTTCTTACCTGGTGATATGAAAGAAGCGATAGCAGCTGGAGGTGAGTTTCTCCATTGTATCGTCTTTTAAAATTGTACTATGCATTACCTGTGGAGAGATAGCTAGAGTTGAATCTATTTTGTTCGACCGTTTGGAAACAATGTCACAACCCGTTTATTCTCTGTCGTGGTCATACCGATGACCAGCGTTTTGGTTAAATGTAGAGCTGCTGTGGTGATAGTGACACGCACCAACACTCAGATACCTTGCAATTTAGCAACATTCACCAGAAAAGGTATGGCTCGGTGCTTCAGTCATTGTGACCATCATGGGAAGAAGTAGAGGTGGGCAGGGAAGCAGGCGGTTATACAGCAAGCTTGCTGTGAGTGTCAAATACTAGTATAGCGGCTTCTCCGGCACTTCAGAAGAATGTTCACGTGACAAATACACCCTGCCAGCTTACTCGCCCATTTCACAAACGGCCATCGGGCGTCGGGCGTCTTGGTCCCTGAGGAGCAGCTGTGCTGTAGGTTAGCCTTCCCACGTGTAGAATGTCAGTCATGTTCTAGTGTTCTTGCTGTTCATGGTGTTTATGAGGTTTATAGGGCAAATCCGTTGATCCCTGAGTATGGTTTATAGGGTATGTAGACCCTATAGGGCTTACGATTGTTACAGGGTTTTGTAGGATTTGTGGTGTTTGTGGTGTCCATGGCTTTATATAGGGTGTATAGGGTTTATGATGTTTATACGGTAGATACTATTAGTATTATAAGGTTTTAATATGGTGTTTATAGTGCTCGCAGTGTTTATGGTGTCTGTTGTTGTCCATGTTGTGCATGGTGTTTTGTGGTGTTTTGTGGTGTTTGTACTGGTCATTGGTAGTATGCCAGTGGGGGTTACTCTGTGCTTCAACATCGTTTCAGTATACACTTGACTTACTATGTGTCAGTGTGTAAGTCAAGTGTAACAGCTACTCACTGTACTATTGGCTGTACCAGTTTTCTGTGCCCACCATTTCGCGGGGCTTTGCTCTGAATAACTTACTTGCTTGAGGTACTCTCCACAGCAATTCTATGTGTGTCTTTTGTGTGAATGTGTTGTTGTTTTTTCACCATGAGTAGACGGTGAGACTGTACGCCCCGTCTACTCATGGTGTATGGATACAGCTGATGAAGAAATCCAATATCAGCTCCGGACGCTGAAAGATCAGCTTGCAAGATTGAAAGGCAATGCAGCGGTTGGCATGAGCCCTAGCGGCAACACTGGTGTTAGTGACCTTTCTGCTTTGCATGCTGATGTCGCTGCTGCTTCTACTACATGTGATGGTTCTGTTGATGATGCTGATGATGGCGCTGTTGGTGATGCTGTTGATGGTGCTGGTGGTGATGCTGCTGCTGCTGCTGCTATGATCACTGCTGATGACACGGCCGGCTGCACCAATACAGCGATGAGTGCTGTATTACAAAGCTCTGAAGGTGAAACTCCCGTGGGCACTGCTGCAGGTACCGATCACCACTAAGCTCTTTTGTCATTTCTCACCAATCGAGAACGACTTGCTGCCATCCCACATTGAGCCGATTTACCCGCCATATCTGACTGTGTGGACGTTGTAGACTTTCCAAGTATCTCCGGAGTGTAGACAATATGTACCTACCCAGTGCATGTATCTCCGGAGTGTAGACCATGCAGTGTAGCTTCATTCAATAGGCTATACTGCTGTGTACTGTGTGCTGTTAGTAAGGCTGACAGTGCATTTACACAGTGCAGTATGTGCACAAAGTGGAGATACCCTCGACAGTATGTACAGTATGTGCCCCACCATGACACACACACACACACACACACACCATGCAGCACGCTTCAAACACTGCTGCACCGTGCGTCAGAGGGTCTCTGTGACTGGCTTGATTACCACCCATATTCAGTGCTGCGCTGTTGGAAATCATACTTCAAAAGAAGTATTCGAAACATTATCTTGAATTCATGTGGTTATTATGAACTTGACGGTATCACAAAACATGTTCCTTTATTTTCCTTACTCAATCCATGGGCAGTGCTGTTTCGTCCGTTGTGGGTGTATTTTTTTTTAAATGGTTTTCCTCACTCTGTGGGGTATGTGTCTCGCTTGACGTCCGATTATTTTTGAACGTTTTAGTGACCTTTTTAGTTCAGTTTTCAAGGCTGCCTGTCACCATGGTCACCATGGTGACCATGGTCACCATGGTCACCATGGTCACCATGGTCACCTACTCATTCAATGGGTAGAATATGATACAAGTACTGATATTGATTGTTTTCTGCACATAAGTACTACATTGTACCTTCTTTTTTTAAAGAGTAAATTATCGTGTCCGTTCCCGAAGGGAACTCACGACGGCCGCTAACACCCGGTAAACCCTACATTGTACTTGGCGCATAGTAACTACTTGTGCTGCAGAGAATCTTGCAGTTGTAGGATTCTCGCAGTTGCATCACCGTCTACCCACTGTGTTCTGTGTTTTCACTCACGCACTTGTGCTGTGCTGTGCTGTGCTTGGAGAGACTGAACCACTTTTGTTTGTGTACAGATATTACACTGTACTGTAAAACCTAGTTTAAGCGACCACCCCACGGCCCACGGTGCAAGGAAAAGCGGTCGTTAAAGCCAGGTGGTCTTTAGAACCAGGTCCCACAGTGTCTGTGTAGAACTGTCCGTGCATAGAAAAACGGTCGTTAAGAGCAGGTGGTCGCTAAAACGAGAGGTCGCTTACACCAGGTATTACTGTACTGTACAATTTTTATGATAGCCCGCTATGACTTATGCTATGACTTATGCTATGACTTATGCTATGACTTATGCTATGACTTATGCTATGACTTATGCTATGACTTATGCTATGACTTATGCTATGACTTATGCTATGACTTATGCTATGACTTATGCTATGACTTATGCTATGACTTATGCTATGACTTATGCTATGACTTATGCTATGACTTATGCTATGACTTATGCTATGACTTATGCTATGACTTATGCTATGACTTATGCTATGACTTATGCTATGACTTATGCTATGACTTATGCTATGACTTATGCTATGACTTATGCTATGACTTATGCTATGACTTATGCTATGACTTATGCTATGACTTATGCTATGACTTATGCTATGATTTATGCTATGACTTATGCTATGACTTATGCTATGACTTATGCTATGACTTATGCTGGGATATTGTTTCCTTGAAGCAGAAAACAACTTTAATAATAATAATGTGGTATGTCTAGTGTGGGACAGCCTGTGTTGCCTCTTTCCGCATTGTTTGCAGTTTTTTTATTACAAGTCATGTTCTCACACCTCCTATATCTCCATTGGACCTCAGTACTAGCGGGGGGGGGGGGGGGGGGGGGGTAACTTCACAGCCCACTGTGACACTGATTTGCTGATTCACAATGTCATGATTCACCTTGCGTTGGTTGGGCGAAATGATGGCACTGATCTGCTGGTTCATCGGGCAATGTACTGAGTCAGGGCCTTGTGTTGGTTGGGATGAAATTAATGATGGCACTGATTTGGAGAGACTCTGAGTGAGCCACTTGAAATTAAAATTTGTTGAACCACTACAACCTACATACTGGCAGGCTGTGGCAGCCTGTACCAGCTGCACAGACGGGCTCAAAGGCAAAAGCTTGCTGCTGAAACCGGACAAAGGCGTTGCATGCAGGTGATGTATGGCAGTACAACTAAACAAGTGCAACAATCCTTATCACCCCTAAGCTTTTCTCAGTGTGAGCACCGGAATGAAATACTCTCACCTGATCATTGTGACATACAATCATTTGATGTACATGTACTAGTACATGATTGTAGATGTACAATGATTATGCAATGATTATGTATCGCCTTTTGTGATCATGTATTCTGTGTATTCTGTGTATTCTCACTTCAAAACCACTGTCGGAGTTGCATGCATTTGTCTTTTGGACCGTATAGCACCCATACAGGCTACATGAAGCTCTGGGAAACACGGTTCTGGGCTTGTGTATAGGCTGTAGTATAGGCTGTAGGGACCAGCGGAGTATGCTCGAAAAGGTGGCAGATTCTGCTCGAAAAGCAGTGAAATACGCAGAACCATACAAACCTTCTGGCGGGCAATTCCTCGAATTCTGCTCCATTTCTTTATCCACATACCAAACATGCATGAAAGTTGAAACTTACCAGAAAAAGTACCGAATTCTGCCAATTTTCTGCCAGCATATTAAATCCGCCGGTGCCTGGCAAGACTTGCCAACTTGGTACAAAATGACGGCTACAGCCTATTAGTATTACAATGGGCTGTAGCCGTCATTTTGTACCAAGTCTTGCCTAGCTTGGTAATCATGGTAATGGCTACTACTATAATAGTAATGACAAGAGAGTATGGGGGGGGGGGGGGATAATACTCTTCAAGTGATGGATGTCTGTTTGTGTGTGTGTCACCATTATTATTACTACTGTAAGTAGTAAGTACTTAGTCGTAAAGTAGTTATCATGTACGTAGATCTACTAGTACTACTGGGCCAAGGGCAAGGTCAAGGGTAGATCTACCATGATCTACTGCAGTACTTGTACATGTACTGGTAGTGGTAGACTGGTCTGTACTGAGTCTACAAGTACAAGTCTCTGTAGTGTGTAGACCTGTCTTATCTGTACTGTAGCTGTACTGTGCCAACTCAACTGACTCCCGCATGCACGCCATCGCAGTCAAGTGCTTGTGTGTATTGTGCCTTTTTCTTATTGTGGAAGCGCCTTCAGCGTCTCCGCTACTACTAGTACTACTACTGGGCGCTAGCGATATCCACACACACTGCACTGACTGTGGATCGGAGAGATTTTTCTTCTTGTTGACTGTTCGCGCTACAAGTAGACTCGTAGACGCGTCGACGGTCTACTCACCTGCTTCCCAGGTCAGGCAAATTTAATTTCTCTCTTTCCTGTGAGCATTGGATGTCTTGTCTTTTCCTGTGAGGTTCTACTATCCAGAGCTTGTTGTCCTAACCAGCGTGTAGTATTTTGAAAGCCGCGTGGCTGCAACGGGGCTACTGACGTTCTTCTTCTCAGGAAGTTCAGATTTTCTTGCCCTAAAGTTCTGCTTGAGAAGTTGTCAATGAGAGTGGTTGTAGTGAGTACATGTAGGTGCTAAATCAATCACTGAACTATCCTTACTCACTCAGTTTCTGGGCGAGAACGATATCCGCAAGAAAGCGTTCCTATCTCCAGTGGCTGTCTGGATGAACGTAGCTGGCACGTCAGAAAGCTCAGCAATGGAGGTTGACACAACAGCCTCAGCCTGCCCTTGTCCTGTGCCCCCGCGGAGGTTTATCAGTGGTGTCGTCGAAGGTTAGTGTTGTTTACTAGAGAAGCAGACTACTCCTAGCCAGATTACCCACTTTCAATGACCCGGCTTTGTTTCTCTTCGGGTTGTGATTCTGCTCTGTTATCATGATCCATCTTTTGACTGGATCGCTCCTAGCCCTAGGTTTTTCAAATTATTTTCTTCTTTCCCACTTTTGAAATTGTTTTTTTTTCTTGTTTGGCCTGACCGTGCTGCGATGCCTTGTTCAGGGTTTTATGGACAGCCATGGCCTACCGACCAGCGGGAGCGTCTCTTCCAGAGGTGAGCATCTGTGCTGCCTATGTTTCCTTTGTCTCGCTTGGAGGGTTGGTAGACGTCCACTGGAAGTGCAGCTGCAAAGCCTCGTTGGTGCATGTAGTGGTAGACGTGGAATGATGTCAAAATCTGTTCTTTCATGCTCATTGTGCATGAATGTGCAGGAATTGATTCATGTATTGTAAAAAGAATTCATGTTTATTGTTACGAGTTGTGACTAACAGCAAGAGTATGCAACTGTGGTTATGGGTCCGTGCGTGGCTCGCTGCCTTCATTATGCAACTCGCCTTCATCATGTCACGCTCTGAAAGCTTGCACTCAAACCCACAATTTCTCATACGAGCACATCCGGATTTTATTCGATTCATTCCAGTACCTACGAGATCTCTAAATTTTGGCGCGTGAACTCAGTGCCGTACGAAAGTTCATTTCAAACCAGAGGGGGGGGGGAGAGAGAGTGGTGTTTGATTTTCTGCAGTGTGCGGACTGAGTGTGGTGTTTGATTTTCTGCAGTGTGCGGACTGAGTGTGGTGTTTGATTTTCAGTTAAATGATGTAATGAAGGCAGCACGCCACGCATCTGGCATTAGTCTAAGATTCATCATGCCACTTCATCCGCTTCCCATGCATAGTCAATATTTATGAGACTGTAGCCACAGTGATAGTCTCGGGTCCTTGCTGCATATAGTGCCGCTGTATGCCCAAGCTACAGTGCGTTTTTTAAAACAGACATTTGTCGATTTTGATTTTTTAGTTTGTTCTCATTCCTAATTTGAAATTTTTTTCTTCACAGCTGTGTTTGTGTGGGTCTTGGATCGAAGAAAATTAAGTTTGGGAATCGGAATAATAATAATTGTCAAAGTTAGATATTCGGGCGGGTTTGGGCTGAAAATCCGGTTTTAAATGGTTTTCAGTGGATTTTGATTTTAAAACGAAAGTTTTAGCCAGGAAAGCTCATCACGTGCATGGTGTTCGCCAGAGTTCGAATCCAGTACAGTTCATCTTGATTCTTTTTTTCTCTTCTTTTTGGGACAGCGCATGCATGTACATGTACATGACTGTGCAGTTGTGCACTGCCGTCTGCAGTTCTCCTAACCTTTGTAGGAAACCAGTGAGTCGTGGCTTTTCACGACTTACTGTGGCAAACTGTACTGAATAATTCAAATGCTGTATTGCAATTAGCTCAATAAATCAAAACATTCCAGCATGCATGCAGGAAACTTCCCTCGATCCCTGAAAGAATGCAGTGAAAATTCAAACACTACAACAAATCACAAGGGCAATTCACACAGCACCCATAAAGAGACTAAAAGGAAGCAATACATGAGCGGTTTTACAAACACACAAACACACAATGCAAATAGGTCACAGTTGTGTCTGGTTCAACATCTGCGAATAGTAGAAAACCAGCGAGCGTCGAAACGGCCCCAATAATTCCGTGTTTTGTGTTGCACTTGTGACGACAGTATTACACAGTGAACAGATGTGCTAGGACAGCCGACGACGTATATCATCGTTGGCGTCGGCCTCGTCGGGCTCCAGTCACGAACACATCGGCGCAGTTTTTCACGAATCCGTCCCGTCCACCAGTATGCAGAACAATAAAGCGCTTGCCTTTACCTGATGGTGCTTCATTTGGTTGCTTGCCTATACACTCCTGTCACCATTGTCGGACCACCTCCTAGTACCTGTGTGACGCGCATTGACCCATGTGTCATCCAGGTTTGTCTCACAGGTAGCGATGCCGCCATGACACAATCACGTGCCGTTCCATCATCATGTGTGTGATACCTCTGGTCTTGCCTCACTGGAATCCCATGGAACGCAACATTTTCCAAGAGCTAGTTTTGCTCATGTCTGGAAAATCGTCGATGCTTTCTATGCAGCGAGCAGGAACTTTGTCCAGTGCTGGGTGCTCCTTCGCAGCATAGAATCCGTAAATTACTTCTTATACAGTCCAAAGCAAATCCGTCAGGGTTGAGTGGTTTTATGGCACGAGTCTCACATTGGGGATTGTCACTCTCGTTACCTTCATCACTGGAGACAGACAAGGCCAACGCAGCACACTGATTTTCGCCGTCAGCATCCCTGGTACATCTGTTCATGGTGGAAATGCTGACGCCACACGCAACAGCAGCATGACGAATGGAATACTTGGGACCAATTCGATGCCCAGCCATTGTTCTCCTCGTCTTCGCAAAAATTGTAAAACAGACACCACCATGTAGATTCTACCATGGCCCGTTCGCGCTTTGTTATATGTGGCATGTCGAGAGACAAGTTGCCACGCGGCGCGAACGAAAAGACACTCGAGAAAAAGCAAAATAGGGCCGCAGAGCAGTCAGCAACAAAATGATTTCTCTGCAGATTTGGTCAGTCTGAGCGTGCTGGAAGATGTTAGACAGAAGCCAAGGTCCAAGACCAGCAGCCAAGAGTTCATAGGTTATTATGGTCTAGCAGTTTACTAGCAGCACACACAGCAGAACCTGTTGTACGTCATTCCTGTGTTGAGCCAGCTCGCTTGTTGATAGTGGTATTGTGTAGGTAGCATCGTGACCATCTCCGTCAGCACCAGTCTGGCCTGTGACTATGCTGTGTTGCTTGTTGCTTAGTTGATGTGTTTCTTGTTTTGTTACTGTGTAGGTTGGGCCACTGGGGCATGAACTCCTACATGTACGCACCGAAAGATGATGCAAAACATCGTCAGCAATGGAGAGAGCCACTGAGTCCATCTGAGTTAGGTATGTGTCCTATTGCACTTTGCTTGCTAGGATAGAATCAATACTGGCACATCCGCATTGGAGTCGCGATTGTATTTGACACGGTGCATCACTCACCGTTGCACTGCGACACCGCCTCAAGTCTGCTATATGTGCAGCGTTTGGCATTAGACTCTGCTTGGGCAGCTTTACCTGGTGTCAGTCCTCACTGACCTAATGTTATACTTTGAAGTCTGCAACATGTTTTACGTGGCTATACCCACCTACCGGTCTTACAGGGTAAGGGAAAACCCCAATTTAGTAGAGAAACTACTACATATACAGGGCAAAGCCACTGAGAAAGAACACGTTTTTGCTGTACACATATTTGTTACTACGTAGTAGGAAGGTGATGGGCTCACATTGAGAAAGCAGGAACCCATACATACCCATACATAACTCCTCGTTCAGTTTTAAACAATTAACGTGTTTTGTTCTTTCTGTCCAGATACGGTATCGAACCTGATGAACTCCTGTCGCGCAGAAGGTGTTGACTTCATCTTTGCCATCTCGCCTGGCTTGGACATGACATATTCCAGCGAGCAAGAATTGAATTTCTTGAAGTACAAGCTAGATCAGGTAGGCGTGTGTTTGTGTGTGTGTGGGGGGGGGGGGGGGGGTGCATGACTAGGGTTACAGATGACAGCTGTGCGGTTGAGGGTATCCACTCTGTGTTCATTGCGGCTGATTTGCCTGAACACTTGTCCAATGTTACGTATTGTATTGTGTTCTGGTGTACAGGTTGCGCGTCTTGGCTGCAAGTCATTTGCAGTTTTATTCGATGACATTGAGCTGAGGATGTGCGATGCTGACAATCTGAGGTTTACATCGTTCGCTCACGCCCATGTTCATGTGACTAATGCTATCTATGAATACTTGGGCAAGCCGAGAACATTCCTCTTCTGTCCAACAGGTGAGTGGCAATGGGAGGAATGCTCTGTTCTACCAGTACTAACTGGCCAATGTACAGCTGTGAACATATATGGCTGTGAGCATGTATGCTAGAACCAGCTTTGTTTGAGACCAGTGGCTCACTGGTCAATGCCATGTGCATGCATGCATGTGGGTCGACGGGCACAGCGCTTGTATCCCGGTGTCTACAATGTAGGTCCAGTGCTCTCTCTCTCTCTCTCTCTCTCTCTCTCTCTCTCTCTCTCTCTCTCTCTCTCTCTCTCTCTCTCTCTCTCTCTCTCTCTCTCTCTCTCACTCACTCACTCTCTCACACACACACTCACGGTGTTACTGCATTTGGTGTGAGACTGTGGTACAATGGTTACTGTGTTACAATGGTTAATGTGTTTATTGTGTTACAGAGTACTGTGGATCAAGAGCAGTTCCGTCTGTGTCTGAGTCTCAATATCTGCATACAGTTGGAACTCAGCTGGACATCGAAATCAGTGTGCTGTGGACAGGTCAGTTTCTTGGTTTTAATCAACACTTCTGTGGGGTTGTACACCTTCTAATGTGCGTGGGGATGTGTATTAGCAGACACATTTGCTAGCTGTGCGTGTGTTTCTAATTGCCCAGATGCACTTAATGTACTGCTGGTATGATGTTCTGCACGCTCTGCTTTGTACAGGCCCTCTTGTCATCCCACGTGACATCTCAGTACAATCTATTCAAGAAGTGGGCAAAGTCCTTCGTCGCCGTCCTGTCATCTGGGATAACTTACATGCCAATGACTATGACCGTCAGCGTGTGTTCCTTGGACCGTATCAGGTAACCCCCACTACCAGTGACTGTGACTGTGTTGCCTTTGTCTGTGATGCTTCTTGCTATGATCTGTTGCTGCTGCTGCTGCTGCTGTTTGGTGTGTGTGTCCATTGTGGTGCACACGCACACACACACTCTCTCTCTCTCTCTCTCTCTCTCTCTCTCTCTCTCTCTCTCTCTCTCTCTCTCTCTCTCTCTCTCTCTCTCTCTCTCTCTCTCTCTCTCCGGGTGTGTTCAGCAAGTGTGACACTGATGTGTGTAACCTGTTTCTTGAACTGCTTGCGAAGTGAAATAAGCGATCTTCTTTGTGTCTATCTGTCTATGTATTTGACTATGTACTTGACTATGTGTTGGTCTAACGCTATGTGTGTTGTGTGCATATTGTGTGTTTGACTGTGTACTTGTCTACATGTGTTTGTGTGCATATCGTGCGCTGCTACAGGGTAGACCACTGACCCTGCGTCGTTACATCCGCGGCGTGCTGACAAATCCCAACTGTGAATGCGAGGCAAACTTTGTAGCTATGCACACGCTCAGCACATGGTGTTCCACGCCGGTCCCACCGGCAGAACCTCCTCCTGCAGAGCTTAGTACAGACACCAAGATCACGCCTGATAGCCCTGATGCCAGAAATCATGCAAGTCAAGCAGCAGCAGCAGGTTCCACTGCAGCTGTAACCATCGGCACCCCTAGACCACCGAGCGACGTGATCAGTGGGACCAACAGCAGTAATAACGCTACCGCCACAGATGCTCTGACACTGAGCAGTTCATGCGGCTCCAATATCAGTGTATTGTCTGAGATTCGAACAAGTGATGACGAGTTCTACTGTGCTAGGCACGCTCTGCAGTTAGCCTTAGCTGAGTGGTCGTTAGAGGTGAACACGGCACGGATAGAACACCTTGCTGAGCTGGCAACCAGTGCTGACCGGGATTCACACCGGTCCGTATGCTCACCCATTGGTTCTGTGGATAGTGCATGTGTGCTGTCATCCTCCACGATCCCACCACACCAACACCAGCAGCAGGAAGAGCAGGCTGTTCATAGTCCACCAACACCAGTCAACCCGCAAGCAATAATGGAAGATGATCATTTAGCACTGCTGGTGGATGTTTTCCATCTGCCTCATGAGCATGGCTCCGTGTCCACACATCTTCTCAAACAAATCTCCTGGCTGTGGAGATCGTGTGGCTGGAGCTCAGTTGATCCAGCCAGTGTCTTGCAATCCTCTCCACAGTCAACAAGCAATGCATTGCTGGAAGAAGTGATGTGTGACACTGGTTGTGTGGATGTTCTTGAGCAGCTCAATGTCTATACTGCCCCAGCACCATCGTCACCAAAAGAAGACGTAGCTATGAGTACTTGTAGCTTATTGCAAGCTGATGCTGCAAGTGATGTTGATATGCAGGTAAGTGCAGGCTGTATCTGCTCTCACACACGTGCACACACATACCTCTTTTCTGCAGTAGTTCCCATAAGCTCTACACTACTACTTCTGAGCACATCACTACATGTAATATGCACTATACACACAACAGAGGCCTTGTTTGTTTGTGTGTAATATGCACTATACACACAACAGAGGCCTTGTTTGTTTGTGTGTAATATGTACTATACTAGTAACTGTATTTCTTATCACACATGCAGTCTGCCCGTGATAAGTCTCGGATCTTTTGCAATCATGCTTTTCTTAATTTTATATCGTTGGTGCATGTGCCGGTGCATGCCTGTGTCTGTGTTTGCAGTCATCTCCAGCATCTTCATTCTCGGCAGTCGGCGAGTGGTCTCACGACTACTGTCAACAATGGCGCCAGCAGGCTGCTGCGTTCCATCAAACGTGCCGTTCACTGCAGACAATGGCAACTCGATTTCTCGATATTCCTAATCACCCGCTGCTCAACAGTATCTTCTCTTGCATTGTCGAGCTGCAGGCAGCGCTGAATAAAGTGGATTCCTTTGTGTCACGGCTTGGTAAGATATCTTGTGGTACTGGTTGTGCTCGCTATGCTGGTGGTTGTGGTGGTCGTGGAGGTGGTGGTGCTGCTGGTGGTTGTGGCGTTTTTGCTGTGTTGTTGATCATTTTTAAAGTTCTGACCTCGAGTTGAATATAATTATGTTGTATGTTGTTGCATGTTGTGTTCTATGTCTGACTAGAATCCCTAAGTATTGAAGAACAACGCAGACTGATCCTGTATTGGTCAGGTAAGGACTTCAGTGGAGAATTTCTGTCTCGTCCTCATTGGCACTTTCCCCTTTGAATGTGCATGTGCATGAGTGGCATGTTTAGTTGTGTAGTCTTATCATTCTGCCATGGTCTGGTATACGAACGTCTTTGCACATTATTCATACTGTCTGGAAGTGAGCACAACGAACGGGGTGATGTGAATGCCACAGTGTGTTGATATGGTGTGCTCTCTGCTGCTGCTGCTGCTGCTGCTGCTTATGATGCCATTTGGCTGCGCTGCTGCCCTTGTTTGCAGAGCCCAGCATGCAAGCTCAACACAGCAGCAACTCTCTCGACTGCTTGGCTTCGCAGTGGAATGATTCTTTCGAGCCCTGGTGTGTCCGCGGTGGTTTGCCCGCAGATTTGCAGGTGAGTTTGGTTTTGCGCCTCTCATTGCACTGTTGCTGCTGCTGCTCCTGTTGCTGCTTGATGATGGTATTGATGCATTGCTGTTGATGCTAATGCTAATGCTGGTGTTGATGCCAATGCTAATGCTGGTGTTGATGCTAATGCTGGTGTTGATGCCAATGCTAGTGCTGGTGTTGATGCCAATGCTAATGCTGGTGTCGATGCTAATGCGGATTCTGATACTAGTATTGCTGCTACTGCTTTGATTAGCTTTCACTGTACAGAAGTGTACGCTCATAAATGCTTATTCCGAAGTGATGGTTTTTGAATGGTGTAGTGTAACTAATTTCGTTTGGTTGGTGTTTTTTTTGGAAATTACCCACCGCAGAGAATCCTTCCAGATCTGACTTGTTTGACCAACCCACCACCATCACTGAGTACTGATGGTGTTGCGGCAATCGATGACGATAGCGGTATTTCTGATGTTCCCACTACACCACCGCATGTTGATATCACGGCCAGCAATGCGTCAGCGTTGGCTGCCACACTCTGCCCGCAGATGCCGTCTTTTCTCTCTGAGCTCCTACCAGAGGTAAGATTAAGGGATCATTCATTCCTTGTGTGTGTTTCACCTGGCTGTGCGTGTGTGTGTGCGTGTGACAGTGAGACAGTGTCTCTGTGAAACTGTTACGTGTGTGTGAGTGTTTAAAAGACATGCAAATAGTTTCAGGGTGACAGTTCACCCATTGCCACAATCTCTTATAGCCAGTTAGGGCTTTGTTTTCTTGCCAGTCCTGGCATACTGACGAAGGTAAGTTACCAGCCAGCAAGGGCCCACCGCAGTCTTGTCAGCTTGAGGCTTGTCACAATTCATTCCAGCGGGGGTTGTGGATGGTCCCTGCTGTACCGGCGGGGAGAATACTCCACCGTATCTACTACTGTTGTTGAGTATTGTCAATCAGCATACTGCACGTATGCCAATACTCACTTTGGAAACACATCTTCTTCTGTTGCACGTGTCTTGTAGCTGAGCCTGCTGCTGGCAAAACTAGCAGGAGAAAGATTGGCCAGTGTTTCTGTGTATTCCAGGCGTGCACTGTCTGTATTACTTACTCAGTGTATGTCGAATACAACAACAACAACAACAACATGGCACAATGACTTTGCTGTGTTGCATCTTCTTACCTCTCGATACCACACGCAGTGGGGTTATGTGTAAGAATGTGACACACATGTCCACACCCAGTGATGTGTATCGTTAGTTTGATAACAAGGAGCACAGATCCCAGCGCTGTCGACCTTCTTCTTCCTCCTCATCGGGTGCTCCATCCTCCGCACCGGGCCATTCCGTTTGCCCCTGGCAATGTGACGGGTTCCCTTCCTTCAATATCTGTTCTCATGCGCTTGTCCTCGTATCTGTCTCTCTTTCTCTCTCTGTCTCTCTGCATCTGTCCATCATCTTGGCGTTGGCCCTATGGCCATGCAACGCATTGCTGCTGCTGCCTGCCCGTGCTGCCGCATGTATGTACGTTGTTTTACAGTTTTACAAAGCTCAGTGGATGATCATGCTGAAACTGATGATGGTGATGGTGATGATGGATCACATCCGACTATTAGTGAAGCGGTGGGATACAGCCTTGCATGCATGTTCATTTTGGGCTGAAACTTGTAGTAGAGTAAACTTAGGCTAGGTTAGTCATTTACCCCTTCCCCTAATGGAGATTCTGTCGACTTGCTGTGCAGTAGGTCAGCCTAGTAGTTGTACATCCCGTGTGTCAACTTAGCTCACCCCACCTCTCACCTAGCACACGGGGGAAATGTGTGTGTGTGTGTGTTTTAAGGGCGCAGGCCCCTGTGAAATGCAGCTTTCTATTGTCATCGCTGTGGTAGCTTACAGCTTGATTTCCCCTTCCACCTCTTTCAGTGTGTTCACTGCCTGTAGATGTGCTCCTGTACTCATTTCCTCCTAGCTTGATTGTCAGTTTTCATGTTCGAGACTAGGCTTGATAGACTCACACCCCTATCCTTGTGTGGTTTGCCCTCAACCCCCATTATTACTAGTGTCCGAGTTCCGACAGCAGAGTTCTTATCACAGTTTAGTTAGAGGATTGGTTCTGTTTAGCAAAGCTGATGATCTGTGTTCAAGTTGTGATACACATCGAGTACGTAGGTTAAGTTTTCTTCACTGCCTAAAGCAAAGTTGAAGGCCAGAATGGTCATTGGACCGGTTTCGCACTTGCTTTTTTTCTCGCAGGGGTAGGGGAGGGGTGTTGGGAAACAGTGTGTGCGTGTATGCCTGTGGTGTCGCTTGCATGCCCGCGTGTGTGTATGTGTGCGTACGTAGCCGTTTGCACTTGCTTGGTGCATGCACTGTCGTGTGTGTGTATGCCCGTGCCATGCGTGTGTATGCCCGTGTGTGTGTGTGTAGTTTGTGTTGTCGCGGTGTCTTGCTTTTATTTAGTGGCTTTGCAACAGCACTGTGCGTTCATCAAGGATCAGTACTCTTGTCGGGTATAATCTGGCGTTGACGGTTCCTCATCGCGTACTGATGATGCGGCTTATGAAGAAGGCATTGTTTGCTGCTAGCACCTAAATGCTAAACATGCCTTAGTGCTTTATTAGGCCGACGAGCGTTAAGTTTAACCTACATCGGGAGAAAGCGTGCGCCTTGTTTTCGCCCGTATAAAAGAGTTCGGAAAATAAGCAGGTTTGAAGTTACTTTGGTAACGGCGTGAGGAGAATTGCAAGTTTGTAGCCCCCCCCCCCCCCCCCTTCCTCTACATGCTAGTGTAGATTTACCAGGTCCTTGGCAAAACTATCCTACTCACTGTTGTGTGGTGTGTACAAGTATAATGTGTGTGTAAGTGCTGTTGTATGTGTTGTATCAGTAGTACGCCATCCGTGCCAGCAAGAGTACATAACTACACAGAGTGTACAGCTCTGCTGTACCCTCCGTCACGACTCATTTTCAGAATTTCTTCATCTTTTCGTGATGTAGCCTGCACCTGACTTTACACACCCAAACTGCATTGTGTATGCTCAGTGCACTGTCAGCCTTGCAAACTGCATTGCATGCATAGAGCATAGCATAGAGCTGAGTACATCATGAAAAATGACGTAATTTTGAAAGTGACTCGTGACAGCTCTCTGTGTGTAGTTATGTACTCTTGGTTTCAGCAATATACTCTTAGTGACTCACTGTTCTGAGAGTGTATTGCTGGTATAGCTGGTGTAGCTGGTGTAGCTGGTGGTCTTCCAACAAGTTGTGTACGTGTTGTGTTGCTCTTCCTATCAGTCCCGTCCCTCACACATGTGGCACTCGTACACTGATTTTTCCGGGCAGCACCTGGATTTTGTGTCATATTGTGCTGTAATGTGTTTTTACTGGTTGCCTGGGGGGGGGGGGGGGGGTTGAGAGGCCAACACTGCTACCCATGCCATTCCCGTCACACTTCCATGTTGCCCTAGGGGAGATGGTATTCCACTTCCATGTTGCCCTAGGGGAGAGGGTATTCCCCTTCCATGTAGTTCCCAGGGAGAGGGTGTTTTGCTGTATTTTTACTCCGTCTGGGCCTCACTGCTTTTGCAGAGGCTCTAGAAATCTCGACACCTGTCATTCATGCAGAAAGCTGCACTATGCCATGTTTTTGTGGCTTCGAAGTTTCCTTGCCGCACGACAAAGTGATGAAAATGTTCATGCAAAGACACCTCCAGTTGCACATTTCTATGATGGTCACGTGGTTGTGAGGAACCCATAATAGAGATATAAAGATGCACTCAGCGTGCTTTTTAGGGACTTGGATCACCAACCGTTTTGGGGACTTGGATCACACCAATCTTGCCGAACATGAAGGATCTGCAACTTGAATCACGCCAATCTTGCCCAAACTGAAGGATCTAATTCTTGCTGATGCTAAAACTTAGCTAAAAAATTTTTGAAACACTGAAATTTCTTCGGACGGTCTTTCGTTTTTCTTGTCTACGAGGTGGCGTTACTTGTTAGTCAATCAAGCGAGGGGACGGGGTGAGGGATGGTGTTTAATTTCACAACATTTCTATGCATGCTGTTGGGGTTGCGGGGTTGCGTTGCATTGGAATTGTTTTGATTGTGTGAGGGATGCTGCATGTTTGCTCTGTGATATGACTGTGTCAATTCTTTTCAATGGTCCACATGTGCATACTATGCTTGTGCTCTTTGCATTCTTTCACTTACCCATTGGGTCAGTGTGTTGTTACCCCTCTTACCCATGACCTTTGCTCATCTGCATTTCACTGTTGTGCCAGTTGAGTGTTTGTAAGGAGATTGTTGCCAACTTGCTCTCTCAGGGGAAATCAAAGTGTACTCCGCAACAAACAGCTAGACGTGTGTTTATGAACACACGCACTGCATTAGCAACGCACACAGCTATGCTTGTGTTTATGAACGCACGCATAGCTGCTTTGGTAATGCGTGCTGGACGTTGTTTAGTCGTTTGAAGCACGTCTGCGGGGTGTGCTCTGTACTTTCTCCTGACAGGTGTGTAAGCTGTGTACTGTCTTATCATAAGGTTGACACCACTTGACACAGTGTGCCACACTGCCCACAGTCATCACTGGGGATGTGGCGTCAACCGTATGATAGTGGTACTGTAGTCATGGTGACAAGTACCTGGTACTGTGTGGTACTGTGTGGATAGTGGCAACCTAGCCAAGACACTTACTCAGAGTTTGAACAATTATCTCGGCAGCTAACTGGTCTAGTGGTAGTCGTGGATTGATGGACGGTGATTGCTTGTCAAGGTGCTGCCATGTGCACTCGTGAAAAGGATTTGCAATTGGGCAGACCGCCAATGCGATAAGGGGATTGTTCTGTTTTCAAAAAACCCTTATCAAGTACACTTGATCCTTTTGTTGCATACAACCTGCTTGCCCAACTGCCTAATACCTACTCACTGCAGACTGAGTACCTGCGCAAGCTATGATCCACACATCAACTGACTCTCCAATATTTACAAGACAACGTGTTGTTGATCATGGTGGACCTCTGCACCAACTGGCCTGCTGCAGAGCGCAGTGTGTACTGTACCCAGTGCTCTAAGAGTGTTTGTGTCTTGGCTAGGTAGCTCTCATCCTCGTGTGCATGTACAGTCTCCTTGTGTACTAGTGGTAGTACTACATGGCTTTTGAATAGCGTTATTCTTTCGGTGTTTCTCTGATTGGTCTGGACCTGTTCTGTTGTGTCTGTGCAGCTCATGGTGGAGTGACGACTGTCGCTCACACAACTATCATCAGCTGATACACATTGACAGTGCAGCACTTCCTGACAGCGACAGCAACACCTTGGTTGCTTAGTTGGTTGTCTGGATGTTCGGCAGTGAGTGCCGTTTCTCAGTTTGGATGGTGATGTTGACTGGTGATGTTGGCTGGTGATGTTGACTGGTGATGTTGACTGGTGATGATGGGTGGTAATGATGGGTGATTGTGATGATGACGGTACGTAAGCAGTGATATCACGGCATGGTCCTATCTATTGTTACAGCCCCCCCCCCCGTGCGTGGTTTTGACACCGTTGACTCTGCTAGCTTTGCTGTGTGCATCTTCACATGTTGGCCTAGTCTTTTTTATTTATACCGGTGGTCAGTAATAATTTTATCTTTTTATGTGTACATATTCTGGAGCAGCACATGCGCTCAGACCAGATTGCATGGATCTTGCCTGTATGTGCCTGCTTCAACCATGTCTAGTCCTCTGGTGGCCAATACAGTCCTCCCGTTTCTGCCGCTGTTGATACCTTTAAAATAACGGTTATAGTTTGTGCTTTGAGTGGCTGCTGCTTTTGCATACTGTGACCTGCTGCTTTTGCATACTGTGACCTGCTGCTTTTGCATACTGTGACCTGCTGCTTTTGCATACTGTGACCTGCTGCACATTGTACTGGCCTGGGTGCGTTGGTCTTTGTTCTGCGAGTTTTCTGTGTGTGGGTCTCTCTCTCTCTCTCTATCTCTCTCTCGTTATATTCTCTCTGGATGTGTTTTTGAGCACAGTCCACCACATACTGCAGCACTGGCCCTTGCTTGCTTGCTTTCTTGCTGCACAATGTTTGCAGCAGCAGCAGCAGTATTGGCACCAGTGCTCAGCATCTCTTTGCGTTGTTTATTCATATATTTCTATTTTTATCTGTCCACTCCGTATCCGCGGCTTCACTGCAACTTAGCTCTTTTATCAACACCTTTGTATTCACTCTCTAGCCAGGTGCATGCAATGAGCACACAGCAGTGACAGCACAGCACATAGCATCATTTCCATTGCCTGTATCACACTGCAAATACACAGTCTTGTCACCTGGTCACGCAAACTCTCGATCTTATTCTCCCGAACTCCGTACCGGTATGGTTTGATGCTGCGTGCGTGATGCTGCATGTGTACAGTAGAGTGCACGTTATCCCCTCCCCGGTGTACGGGGCTGTCTCCCAGGGGTTCGAATAATCGAGCGGCCACACATTCATCTAAACATGAATATCCCCTCTTATTTCTTATCATTTCTCACTTTCTTCAGCAGTAGTACAGAAAGTTGACACACTCCAGCTCCTCAAAATGACACTCTGGGTAACCCGTTTGACCCCAACCGTTGACATCCATCTTGCAGTTAGACTTCGGATAATTAGCATTCTACTGCATGGCCCCTTTTTTCCAGCCTCGTACATTTTATTTTGTGCTAAGGAAATTCTGTTAGACTGACCCTCCAGGAAATCGCGATTCCACGGATGCAACAAATTTCGCGATTTTGGCCCAAACCCGCGATTTTCAGCCAAATCCGCTATTTCCCGCATTTTTTGTTGTTTTCTGCACTATATCTCACATTTTTATGCACTTTTCACGCAGTTCTTTCCGTGATCCTGTAGGTTATTATACGACTCCGGAGTAGATATACGATGCAACAAATTTCGTGATTTGGCCCAAATCCGCAATTTTCTGCAAATAATTCCGCGAATTCCTGGCAAGTTCTGCATCATTCCGCACTTTTTGTCGCATTTTTTGTTATACTTTCTGCCGCAATTTCTTGCGCAAGTTTCGAGAGTTTTTTCCGCAAATTCCCGCAGAGACAGGTTAGATTCGGGAGGACACTTTAATAATCTGATCTACTGCTGCAATGTGCATGAATAGGATATTTTAGGTACTGAAAATTATGTTGGTTTATAATGTGCTGAACTAAAACCTACGTTTCAATCAGGGAGTCGTGAAAGTCCACAGCTCCCTGGTTTCATCGCACACTGTACAGACATACCCAATGCTGTAGCCAGCAAGCTCTACATACATACGTATTAGGTATGTACAGGCAAATTTGCAGTGAATGTGATTCTGTCATCCAATCCTTTGCAAAAATGTCAAGGCAGGCAAACAATGGGGTAAAGCGAGCCGTGATGATATTTTATGAGGAGGTCCGCATTCTGGGCCAGGGGGATAATGTACTCTTTGCTACTGACGTTACTTCAACGAACTTAGCGGAAAACAACATACATGTACATGTACATGCACACAACAGGCTCCCACTAAGTCAATAGCATCGCAGCAACACATTCGAGCATGAAAGTGACGCTCTGACCGAAGGAAAGTACTCTGATTATATAAATTGAAAACATGTTCTCTTCACAATACACCTAATACACCTATAACACGAGCAGTGCTGCTGTGCTAGGGATGGTGGCCGATTGGGCGGGGTAGAGAGTCAAGGGGGAAGTTATGGCTACTTCAGTACTTTCACAGCATCAATAAACACACATGCACTGTAACAGACACCAAGATCTAAAAAAAATATCAGAATAAAAGGAGGTTCTTATGAAATAAGTTGAAATACCCACGGCACACTAAAAAAAAACTAAAGACTGCACATGTACAAGTATGTGTAGGTGTAGGTGTATGATTGTGTTTTTGTATGTGTACTTGTGCACATAAGCTACCATGCACTGATGCTGAATGTATGCATGGTTTTGTGTTGCAGAACAAAGCAAAACTAAACTAAAGTCTAAAAATCTAAAAAGTACAGCGCAGAGAGTAAGGGAAAACTATAAGGGTTAGAACATTGGTACAGCAAGTGTGAACAGAAACAGCCGTTGCTACACATAAGCATACTCAAGTACGGACAGCAGCGACGCAACAGCGACAGCTGGAACAACTCATCTAGAATGTGGTCGTTCTGAACGCCATTGTAAGTGACACAAACCTAGACAGGGAAAAAACTAGGAGAGGCAAACTGAAGTGATAGATATCAAGCTAAGGTAAGCCGGTAAGCCGGTAAGCAAGTTACATTGAATGCATAGTGTGCTTCAATGCCATGCTGCGTGGCTCAGTTCTGCGTGGCTCAGTTCTGCGCCTTGGAAAAGAAAACCTTCTGAAATTCGTCAATGCCGGCGAAATGCCGCTCCTTCAAGAAAGCAACAAACTGGTCTCGTTCTTCAAACTGAAACACAAAGAAAGAAGAGAGAGAGAGAGAGAGAGAGAGAGAGAGAGAGAGAGAGAGAGAGAGAGAGAGAGAGAGAGAGAGAGAGAGAGAGAGAGAGAGAGAGAGAGAGAGAGAGAGAGAGAGAGAGAGAGAGAGAGAGAGAGAGAGAGAGAGAGAAATCACACAGTGAACTACAGGTGGAATCTGATAATTCGAATATGGCATAATTCGAATAAGGCATAATTCGAACATACCGCTTAATTAGAAGTTTTTCCAGGACCGATTTCTATCAATACAATTCCCACATAAGAATTTCTGATAATTCGAACCTCGAACTGGACATGTTCTGTTGATTAGAAGTCCCACGAATTCCACTTACATAGAAAATGTGTGGGATTTGTGCTGATAATTCGAAGTTAGCAAAGTGTAATTCGAAGTTCACTGTACACTGTGCTGGTCAGTTCAGTTTGCATGAGCCGGCTGTGCCGGTCAGTTCACCATCCGTGAAATCTGTGTCTACGGTCCATAGCGCAACTCTGAGTGACCATGAGAGCATTTTGACATACATATTGTGTTGTGGGTTCATGTTTGGAATGTCCGGATAATTAGAAGTTTTATCCTGGCATTTTGAGGTTCGAATTATCAGAATTCCACCTGTACCTGGATTCCACCTGTACTTGCATCATAAGCGACTGCGAGTGGAAAGGAACAAGTTCAGTGGGAATCAGCGGGAAATCATAATTATGCCACCAAAAAATGTGTTTATGGGAAAGAGCCAGCTTCATGAATATCTCCATTTCTTCTAAGGCCACGGTCACACATGCACTTTTTTTGGCGGTTCCGCCAAAACGTAACTTACTCTTCTGCCGTTGCCTCGGCAACGGCGGAGGCGTAAGTTACACTTTGGCGGAAAGTTTGGATTTCACTACGCCAAAAAATGCGAGCGGAACCTCCGCTTTCGCGGATCCGCTTTGGCGGAACCTGAATGATGATGGATTTGGAGTTTGGTGTGCTGCTTCTGCGCTGAGTTCTGGTGTTGTTTGGTTGCCGTTTGGTATTCAGTTTTCATATTGTTCTTCTTTGCCAATGAACTGTACGTTATGGAGATCTTGCTAACGATACTGCATCGTTATGAGTGGATAGTTGGTGAGGAAATCCGTCTCCCACTTGAACTCATTGGCCCCGATCGCGGGCGATCTCCAACTCTCTCCTTCTCTCTCCAAGCAATGCGTCCACCAGAGTATGCAACACTAGGACTGCAACTAGGGAGTAGTAGAGTACTCTACCACACCCTCACTGCAGCTGCAGGCATCCATGCAGTCGCTGGGGTCGATGATGGATCATGGAGGAGGCAACGACACCCTGCTATACAACTATTTTGATATTGATGTAAACTAAACTAATAATTATTCAAATACACCCGTATTGGGCCGCAGTGAATGTGCCCCAAATCCACGAGTGTACTTGACAGGAGACATTCAGCAGCCTGTCAACGATTCACGATAGCTCTACTTGTACAAGCGAAGGTCGCTTCACCTCGGACAAGAACATCTAAAATTTCATAGGTCGCGTGCTGCATTTGCATTCTCTCCGCCAAAGCGGAGCGTTGAGGAGCACAGTAGTCTACATGTTTGTGTGACCGCTGCATCGTGTGGTCC